CCCAGCCGCCCGCCTGCCCCGCTGCTCCGCCGCCCCTGCCGCGGGACTCGCCGCCGCCGGTGCCGTTCGGGACGCCCGATGCCGCCGTGCAGGCGCTGTACAGCCCCACGCGGCCCGTCAGCAGGGACAAGTACCTGGAGCGCGGCTTCAGCCTGGGCTCGCCCGTCTCAGCCGAGTCCTTCCCCGCGCCGGCTGTGCCCGGCACCATGGACCCGATCCTCTTCGCCCCGGCCGACCTCAAGCTCTGGGCCGCTGCTGGCCACGCCGAGCCGCCCGCCGCCCACCCCGGCCCCGGTGGAGTCGCCGCGCCGCCCGCCTCGGGCCGCCCGCTGCCCGCCAAGCGCCCGCCGGGTGCCTCCGAGCCCGGGCGGCAGAAGGCCCCGTCGGGCAAGAAGACGAAGGCGATCCGCAAGCTGACCTTCGAGGACGAAGTGACCACCTCGCCCGTGCTGGGGCTGCGCATCAAGGAGGGCCCGGTGGAGGTGCCGGCCAAGGCGCGGGGCGGCTGCGCCCGTCCGCTGGGCGAGTTCATCTGCCAGCTCTGCAAGGAGGAGTACGGGGACCCCTTCGCGCTGGCGCAGCACCGCTGCTCCCGCATCGTCCGGGTGGAGTACCGCTGCCCCGAGTGCGACAAGGTCTTCTCCTGCCCCGCCAACCTCGCCTCCCACCGCCGCTGGCACAAACCGCGTCCGCCCGCCACCAAGAGCGGCCCCGAGGCGGGCCGGGCACCGGCCGCGGGCCCGGCCCCGGCGGAGGAGACACCGAAGGAGGCGAGCGGTGGCAGCGGCAGCGAGCGGGACACGCCGAGCCCTGGCGGAGCCTCGGAGGCGGGCTCCGAGGAGGGGCTCTTCGAGTGTCCCCGCTGCGCCAAGCGGTTCCGCCGGCAAGCCTACCTGCGCAAGCACCTGTTGGGGCACGCCGCACCGGCATCCACGCCAGCCCCGGTACCCGCACCGGCCCCGGAGCCCAGCGCCGAGGAGCTGCCCGCCGCCGAGTGCCGCCTCTGCCCCGTCTGCGGGGAGACCTTCCCCAGCAAGAGCAGCCAGGAGCGGCACCTGCGCCTCCTGCACGCCGCCCAGGTCTTCCCCTGCAAGTACTGCCCGGCCACCTTCTACAGCTCTCCCGGCCTCACCCGGCACATCAACAAGTGCCACCCCTCGGAGAACCGGCAGGTCATCCTGCTCCAGGTGCCGCTGCGCCCTGCCTGCTGAGCCGCCCGTGCCTTCCCCGCCGCCCCGCGCTGCTCCCCCGGGGCCGCCACACGATTAGCTTTAATACGGCTTGTGACCTGCTGGAATCTGGCTTTACACTTACCTTCCCGGGGTCTCTCTCTTATTTTTTCTTTTTCTTTTTTTTTAATTTTATTTTTATTTTATTTTTTTTATTTTGTTCCTTTGCTCTGTTTTTTATCGATGTGAACAGATCAAACTGCTTGAGAGAAACAAGCGTTTCCTTTAGTGTAGCCACAAATGCCTTGACTCTGCTGTTGATGGTCTCCAGAAAATGCTGTAGAAACTGCCTTAACTGTGACATGCCAACTTTCTGTTTTCTGTTCGTTTGCCCTTACTAAGGTAGCTCATGAGTTGTCTATCTGTATATGTTGGTTTGAGTAATTATGTTATTTATTCGTTATTTATTTATATTAATTATGAAGATTGATATTATTTGATTGCAGATATTCTAATGCGCTTTTTTGTCTCCCCACCTGCCATTTCACTGTGCATTTTAGAAGATCTTTTTTTCTTAAGGGATCTGCTAAAAAGGTTTTAACTTTTATACCTAGAATAACACATGATCTTAACCATTTTATCCCGTGCAACCAACAGCTCTTACTTTTAGATGCAATCTCTTTTTCTACACACATTATTTTCTTAACTGTTAGCTATTTATAGAGTGCTTCGATAGAACTGTTTCAACTGTATAATTATTTACTATTCGAATAAAATATTTTCAAATTCAAGCATGCCCCCACCCCTCCTGCTTCTCCCTGCCGGGCTGGCCCTGGGGGCTCGGGGAGGATGGGGTGGGGGGCTGGCACCCGGCTCCGCACTGCAGCTGGCAGGGTGCCTCCATAGGCACCAGCCTGCTCTGTGCTGTTTGATGAGATTAATTAAAAAGGAATTAAAGGGAGGAGAAGAGCAGGGTGCAGCGTGGCTGCTCCGGGGGAAGGCTGCCCCCAGAGCGAAGGGGTCCCCTGGCCATGGGCTGGAGCCCCAGCCCTGCCTCTGCTCTTTGGGCACAGCCTGCCCTGTGCTCTGCTGCGGGGCAGAGCTGCCAGGCGCCTTCCCTGGAAGGTGTTGCAGGGAAAGCTCGAGGAGAGGCAGCACCTGTAAGTGGAGGACTTGTGGAAATCCCTGCCTGCGAGGGCTGTGCTGTTTGCTGGGTGTGCTCAGTGCTGAGGTGTGGGGCTCGGCAGAGCAGCAGCATCCTGCTTTGGCCGTGAGCTGTGGAGCTGGGGCAAGGAAGGCCAGGCATTTCTCTGCTTCTTGGCAGGGCTGGAGCCAGCTCCTGCCTGGTGCTTTGTGCCCTGCAGTGGGGTTTCTGCAGCAGCCTTCGATAACTGTATATAGACATATACATATCTGTGCAGATAGATCTGTCTCCAGGGCTTGTGTTTGTATGGGGAAATCTTGATGGGTTTGGTCAGAAATGTAAAATCTGTGTAAGTGAGGAAGGTGCATGCAGAGTTTGTGAAACTCCTCTCACAGGTTTTGTATGCACCTATACCCCTGTAGCAGGAGCAGCTACAGAGCCAACTTCACAGCATGCAAATTGCTTTGCAGCCCCAAGAGCAAATCCCTGCTCCCAAACTGGGGTATGAAGGCCAGGGGGCTGTGAGGGCTTGGTGTGGGCATAGGGGCTGCTCTGTCTCTGGGTAGAAATGCCTTTGAGGCTTTGGCTCCCTGGAAAAGGTTTCCAGCCTGTTCCTGCCATCTTCTCTCAGCTAAAGACTCCTAAACCTAACCCTGATTCACTCTGGGAAAGGCAGGTGGTGGAGCTTCCTGGAGGAAAGTTTCCCAGGAACGGCTGAGTATTTCATGATAAAGCGAAGCTTGTAGAGAAAGATTTGTTTGGGGTTTGTTTTTCTGGTGGTTTTTTTTTGTTGTTGTTGTTGTTGGTGTTTTTGGGGTTTTTTTGTTCAGTCAGACTGAACAGTACCAGTGTATGGGTATGCTCCTCTTGTCTTGATTCCTAGGAAACTGGCTTGGTAGTACCAGGGCTGACTTCAGGCCTAGGCAATGCTGTGGTTTTAGCTGTAAATCAATACACTGGAAAAGAGCACAGCCAGAGAGACACAGGCAGCAAAGCCTGCCTGGCAAGAGGCGCAGTTTTGCCTTTCCTGGCTTCCCTGGCCTTGGAAAGCCCCAGATCCTGGGCTGTTGCAGACGGTGTTGCAGCTGTCTGTGGAGCAGGCTCTCTGCTCCCCGAGGGGGCTTTGCCAACACACATGGCTGTCCTCTCAGGCCACTGGACACCATTCCAGACGATGCCCAGCACATCCTCCGGAGAAGCCTAATGGCTCCATCCACACTGTCACAGCAGAGTCCCTGCTGAAATCCGTGCTCAAAGCCTGTGGCACCAGCAGGCCACAAAACAACAGCTTCATACCGCTGTCCCTTTCCTAATAGTCAGATAAATCCATGTCTGTCCTGCTAAGAATCAGTTGAAATTTCTGAGGGCCAGAATTCCCCAGGTGTTTGAACTGTCTGGGTAACCATCAGCACTGACGTATTGCATCTCCTGCTGAGCAGAAGGGTGATTGCTGGAGACTCCTGTGCTGGGGAGGAGTAAGGAGAGGTCACAGTGGAGAACACTGGAAATGGCTCTGTTCACAAACATCCTGTAAAAGGGACGTAATCTGCTTTTGACATCCCTGGGTTGCAGCAACCTGGGCAGAGTTGCTGTGCCTTTGTGGCTGCAGCCTTTCTCCCCTCATCTACACCGCTGGGTCCTTGTGAGGCTGAGCCCTGACTGCCCAAGGGGTTTCGGGAGAGGTTCCTTGTGAGGCTGAGCCCTGACTGCCAAAGGGGTTTATGGAGAGGTTCCTTGTGAGGGTGAGCCCCCACTGTCTGAGAGGTTTCTAGAAAGGTTCCTTGTGAGAGTGAGCCCCAGCTACCCGAGGGGTTTTGCAGGGAGCCATCAGCATTACCATTTTGCATCTCATGCCACCTGGCAGTGAAGGGCATTGCACCGCCATGACAGGTTACAGAGCCTCCCACTCACACCAGTATCCTTTGGACAGTATTTTGGGGATGGATCTGTCTTTTCCCCTCACCAGTTCCTGTCTTGCACTGGGACTCTGCTGGGCTCTGTCTCCTGCTCTGTGTCTGTGAAGTTCCAAGCCCACGAGTAGCTTGGTGGGTGTCCCAGGGGCCAAGCAGCGCGGCTGAGTCCAGAGCTCTCAGCAGCAGCCCCTGGGAATGCAGGTGTTGCCTGGTGGGTGCCATGTCCTGGCCACCTGGCAGCAGGGCCGGCCAGCGCTGCGCAAACAAAGCCTCCTGCCGTCAGCTAACAAATCAATCACTGATGGCTCCCGGTGCATCCAGCAGGAACAGGTTTGGGCACCATGGAAAACACTGATCCTGCCCCAAACGTGATGCAGTGGAGGCAGCTGGTGCAGAGGTTGCTCATGCCCTGTGCGTTCAGGCAGAGGGGTTTGCCTGCTGTGCCAGAGCCTTTCTCCTCTCTGGGCACACTGAGAGCCAAATGTGGGACCGAGTGTTGTGAGCACAGGGAAAGGAGCTGGGAGGTGAGATAGAGGAACCTGCAGGGTCCTGAGAAATACAGCATGGACACCATCCCTGCCCCATGGGCTCAGAGATGCTGGGGAGCTGGAGCAAGCTGCTCCTGCCCATAGGGGAAGACTCTCTGGAAGATGCTTGTCCCCAGGGAAGGTTTTTACAAGTTTTGGTCCCTTGTAGCCATCAGTGCAGTAAGTAATCTGTCAGCTGCTTTGCTGGATGCACTCACTGGGAAATACAGCTGGGCACAGCTCAGGGTTTTGGGAGGCCCTGCCCTCCTGCTCTGTTTCTGGGGTGGGCAGCTGGGAGGTATCCATGGGACTGGGGCAAGCCTGGAAACAGGACAAACATTGGCTTTTGCCTTGGATTTCACTCTTCCTCACACAACACGAGCCTCTTTAAAAAAAGGTATTGCTGTTGATGAGCTGGGAAATGGCTCATGGAGTCACGGGTGTTTGTCTGGGGCATGCTGTGCCTGCAGGGTCTCTAGGGTGCTGTGGTGTGCTGAGTGTTTTAGGCTGGGTGGGACAACACTTCCCTGAATCATTCAGGCAGCTCCTCTTGGTGAAGGATCCAGGTTTGCAGGTGCATCCTTACAAATGGCATTAAACACCTCAGATCCTTCCATGCAGGTAAGAAGCCTCATCAGGGCTATAAATGGTTTAAATAAAATGTCATTTACAGTCCATATAACAAAGGTCTGCCTCTGACAATATTTAATGCATTAATCACTGAGATGGGACATGCCAAGCATGGGCTGTCCTGTGGTACCAGCTCCACACCGGACACTGCCAGGCTTGGTTCTTACCTGTGCCATTGGATGCAAGTGCTGGGCTGCCCCAGCGCTGTTCTGACCATGCTGTTTTTCCTCAGCAGGCAGCCAGGCACTGAAGCCAGGCAGAGCTGGGCACAGAGGCGGCAGTGGGAGCCCCACACGGGCACAGGAGCCCTCCTAGGAGCGCATCCTCCTGACACGGTAACCGGGACATTATCTGCAGCAGCCAGGCCCAGTTAAACCACCTGTTCCTCTTTAAAAAGAACCTCTGTTTTAAAGCTCTAATAAAGCCCCCTCGCAGCTCTGAAGGCGAGGGCATGCACAGCCCAGCCTGTTCCTGCCCAGCTCTTGTGCTGTACTGCTCTGCTGTTCAGCCTTCCTTAGGGAATGGGGAAGGTGAGTGAAGGGAAGGTTTCACCACAGCAAAGGCTCTGCCTCTGCTGGGGGAGAGGAGCATGGTTCAGCTGCAGCTTAAAACAGGTTCTACTTTCTCAAGGTAAGGGACCACGGTGTTTTTATTGGTTCACTTTTACAGATTTTTAGAGGGAAATTAGCTATAGTGCAACACCAATTCAATGACAAATGTGAGGAAAATTATATACAGTTGGGGGTGTCTGAGCTGGGAGGTTTTGGTTTAGTTACACACACACAGAAGAAAATCAGAATTTATTACATACAATAAATTATTGTTTGTAATTGCCCCTGGATCCTTGGAAGTGTCCAAGGCCAGCTTGGATGGGGCTTGGGATAGTGGAAGGTGTCCCTGCCCATGGTAAGGGTGGAATGAGATGAGCTTCATTGTGCCAAACTATTCTAGGATTCTGTGATAAAATAAATGTAAAAAATACATTCCTTTTATAGCAGTATATTCAATATAGAGAATTTAGAGAAGTAAACTTCAGAATATGTAGGTAATAACACAGGTAATGTAATAGGTAATAATAGGTAATATGTAGGTAATGTAATAAATATATTACATGTAATAATATTACAATATATATTTTAATGTAATAATATATTACATGTATTATATCAAAGCATATTTTATTATACAATAGATACTAATATATGTCTGTTATATATTGCCACTTAGTGCATATTAAATATGTTATCTACAGCACATAGTATCATCTGTGCATCATACATAATTGCTTTGTCTGACAGGAGGTTTTGTCAACTCTGCAGCCAGGATTTGTGTGCTGTGGAGGACAGAATGTAGGTGTGCACACCTGGCATATCCACTATACACACATGTAAATCATGGTCTGAAATACTGTTATTGTATTTATATAGTGTATTGAATACTCCATGATGCACGTCATATATGTGCCAAATATTACATGTTCATTATATCACGTTATATAGAATTCATACATTGCTGACGTGATTTATATGATTTTCTTATATACATTTTAAATAAAAGTATGCTGCATATATTTGCACATAGTATTACAGTTAGCAAAGTAATGTTAAAGTTTTTGTCATTATATGTAATATAGCTAAAATATATCCCAGGGATGTGTGCATATGTAGCTATACACATATAATATTTTGTATTTAGGTAACCTATAACCAAATTTTGAATTAAATTATTACCTTTATAGTCAATATTTAATATTCAAAACCAGGTATTAATAGGATAAAATATATAGTCCATATATTATATAATACAGTGTATAATATATAATGTATATCACATTATATATCTTGTATTATACCTAGATCATAGATCACAGATTGCATATATTTTCCTGAATGTAATAATATATACACATTGTATCTGTGTGTATTTAATACCTACAACATATACTCTAGCTAATAGAAACATATAGACATGCATAACATCAAATATTAGATATATATTTTGAAACACTGCAGCATACAATATATAGAATGTAGGATGAGATCCCTAATGTATTTTCTACAGTTAAAGAGAGCATATTAATAGGTGTAGGAATAAGATAATACCTATACAAATGTTTGTAAAAAATGTCAGGCATTCTTCTAAAGCTGAAGGAAGGTATAACTAGAGGGGATATTGAGAGGAAATTCTTGGCTCTGAGGTTGGCGTGGCCCTGGCACAGGTTGCCCAGAGAAGCTGTGGCTGCCCCATCCCTGGAAGTGTTCTGAGGCAGGTTGGACAGGGCTTGCAGCAGCCTGGGATAGTGGGAAGTGTCCCTGCCCATGGTAAGGGTGGAATGAGATGAGCTTGAAGTTCCTTTCCAACACAATCCATTCTGGGACTCCATGGTAAGTATAAACCAGTCTACGTGTTATTTAATTTAGTAGATTATTTTTAATGCCATTTTTGCAGCTGCTGCCATCGGTGCAGAGCTGGGGGTGCCTTGGGCCCGTGCTCCTGCCCCATGCTGGACTGGCTGTGCCAGCCCCTGTGGCTGTGTCCTGTCCCAGTGCCCCAGCCCCCGTGGGTGCCCTCAGCTGTGCAGAGCCACATGCCCTGTGGCCAGAGCTGCCAGGGCAGTGGGGACACGCGGCTGTGCCAGTGAGGGGCACCGCTGGCACAGCCCCCGAGGGCACAGAGCAGCCCCAGCCTGCTCTCCACTCCCTCGAGGGTGGTGGTGCTGGGCCTGGGGCAGGGATCCTCCTTGGGAAAGGCAGCTGGAAGCTGGGTTCCCAACAGCTCGTGAGTGTGTGCAGTTACTTCTGCAAAGGGAGCTTTATCTGGAGCTAGCTGGATTAACTCAATTTCTGGTTAGAGCGCCTGAAAGCTGTTTAGGAGAGGACTTTGCTGTGGCTCTTCAGCAAAGGAAGGGAACTTTGCTTTGTCTTTTCAGACATTGTTATGGCTGAGTGTAGCCCCCCACATTTGCTTAAGGAATGTCGCTGTAGAGTACAAAATCACCACTAAAAACCTCTTGTTTTCAGTGTGGGTGGTTGGGCCATGAGACATTGCAGGGAAGCAGGTTATGGACGGTGGGTTCTGGGGGCCCCAGAAGTCTGTCTCCATGCTTGGCACCGTGGGCAGGCCTGGGCTGGTGGTGTCACCGTGCAGGGTGGCAAAGGACACTGCTGCCATGTGGGGTCTGCAGGGCACGACCGTGGGTGCCCATGTCAGTCACAGCATGGTGTGAACTCCTCAAGAGCACTCCAGTCTGGGAACAGCTGTTCCTGCAGAGAGGGACAGAGCCTGTGTCCAGCAGGGACCGTCCCTGTCCCCTGTGAGCCAGCCCTGCACACCCATGGCACCTGCAGCAGCCTGGCCCAGTGTCAGCAGCACCACCAGTGGAGTTCCAGCCCTGGCACCTCCCACCCGCCGCCACACACACCACACAGGTACTGCCTTTTATTGCTCTGGGGAGAAACTTTATTGTGAGCAAAGATTTATTAATTTTGTGAGGGGTGACAGAGTGGCTTTGTCATCCAGTCCAGGGTGCAAAACCACAGTGGAGTTTATACAAATTAATAGGTTTTTGACATCAGGAAAACATGATTTTCATTGATGTCTTAATTCTTCCCTGAATTAGAGGTACATATTGCTCTAAGGAGAAAGAGCTCCTTACTCAGAAGGATGCCTTTGAAATTGTTTCAGACCAGCTATTGGATAACTAAGTGCCAGACAGCCTTGCCTGTCCAGCCCTGAATGCAAAATAAATTAAAATACATGTTTTATTTTCTAGGTTCCTTCACTGACAGAAAATCAACAGAAGCAAAGCCCAACTGTGAGGCAGAAAATCAAACCAGTTGTCCAAGCCCTCAGTGACAGAGGCTCCTTCCTGCAGCTGCACCAGGTGAGTTCCTGTCGGGCAGGAGGCTGCGCTGCTGCCCCTCGGGCACAGAGCGCAGGGCAGAGCCCCAGGGCTGCCTGGGCATCACTGGCCGTGGCTGGAATGTGCCCCACAGGCACAGGGTGGCCTCTGGCCAGGTGCTGGCACGCAGACGGTCAGACAGACAGATGGCTGTAACACCAAGTGTAAGTGCAAAAACAGATGGGGGCCCAACGGCACATTTCCCAAAAACCACAATCCCTTTGCTTAAAGCAACTCCCATTCTGTTGAGAGGTGTGCCTGTGTGTGCCCAGGAGCAACCAAGCAGCAGCAGGACAGGGCTCTCTGGCTGCTGGATCTCAGATTTCTGTTGCTTTAAAATACCCGGACTTAACTATAAAAATTTTCACCCCATCAACCTACGACACGTGTAAACCAAAACACATCATCTACTGCCAACATGAGCTCTGCTCACTACAGCAGGTGCCAGGAGGACATCCTAAGTCCTCAGAAGCCTTCAGCTGTCTTGTACTCTGGCTAGAGACAGGTCACAGCCTGCTGGGACAAGGTGAGGAGGTTACCCAGTTCTTCACACTGTGCTGGGAAGGGATCATGGCAGGAGTGTGGTTTTTGTTCTTCTAAAAGGGATTTGCTTATTTTTGTTTCTCTAGGGAGCAGTTCCAGTGCGCAGCCATTGCACACACCACAGAAAGGCCACAGCACTCCCGCAGTGGGACAGCACCAACTGGAGAGCTCCTCCCTCATCCACCTGTGCTCCAGCAGGGAACATCTGCTACCTGGCCAGTCACAGGAAAACCTCTCTTTAGAAGAAACTCCCTAATGCACAGGTAAGTGCTGCCTGGAATGACTAAAGCGATGCTCTAAGGGTACATTAAATAACTAGTTTCAGTGCTGGTTCACCTCTGGCTGCAGCACCTGCACCCAGAGGCTTGGAGCCCTTGCTCACCTGGTGCCAGTGCAGTGGTGATGGTGACACAGGTCATGTCTGACAGGCAGCCATGTCTGACCAGACTGGGGAAGGGCCATTTCACAGAGCAAACCCCTCACCTCACCCCTTCAAGACATGTTCACCCAGACTGCCCATTCTGATCTGTGCTCAGGTGCCGTGGCTGCCCCGGCCACAGCTCTGTTCTCGGGGCTCAGGTGGACACCTTGCTGAGGGCTCTAGCAGAGCTTCCTGGAGAGCCTGCTCCTGGAGGCACGTGAGGACAAGGGCAGCTCCACCAGCTCGACGCCGGTGGTGTCAGCGAGGTCAGCGCTTGCACTGGTGGTGAGGCAGCCTGGAAAACAGAGCAGGCAAGGAAAACCAGGTCAGGACAAAACAGAATAACCGTGTGGCACAGCACAGCCCCCCGCCTCTCCTGGCATCACCCAGGTGAACTTGACCTCCAGAGCAGGAATTTGCTGTAGGCAGCTGAAGAACTGCCATACTGCGCTTCCCAGGGAAATCGGGAATTTCTCTTTGCCAGCTCCCAGAAGTGAGGAGCAGCGAGGTCCTGAGAGGCCATCAGTGTCCAGGTGAGCACTGAGCCCCCCAGCATCACCCCCTTTTGGTTTGCACAGCCCCTGCAGCCCCTGATGGCTCTCAGGGCCCCAACAGCCCCATGGGAGGGAGGCAGGAAGCTCCTATCCTGCTCACTTCAAGCTCCAACATAAAATAGTTGTGGGTGATACAAAATTTGTGTGGGTGATATAAAACTGTTTTTTGCTGTGTGTCATTAAACTGTTCTTCTGTGTTTGGCTGTTACAGAGAGCTGGAAACAAGCATTCCCAGTGTGAGGGCTGTCAGATAACTCTCCCTGGAAGGTGCCTTAACCTCTGGAAAAATTCTAAAGAATCACAATTTCTTCCACTACATAAGAGGTACCCTTGTTACTGGTGTTTATGGTCACCACTGGGGAAGGGTGTTGGGGGGCTGTGGGTGGGTTATGTTTTGTTGTTGAGTGGAGTCACCTGTTGGTTATTCCCTGGAGGCCAGGCCTGCCCAGGCTGCCTGAGGGGGAACAGGTGAGCACATGGTCATTAAATAAGACAATAATGACCAAAACCAGGCACAGTTTCTGTGAGGGACATGCCCTGCCCGGCTCCTGAGGGCTCGACCTGTCCCCAAGCATTTCCTCGGGGAAGAGTGTTTCATCAGCTCCCTAAGGAAACAGTATTTTTAGAACCATATTGCAATTCTCTCCCAAAGTGTAAATACAAGTTTTTTATTACAGGTAGGAGGGAGGAACAGCCTTGGAACCAGGCATGGAGAGCACAGGAATGTTCTGAACCCTCTCTGAAGGCTGGCACCATTGGCACCCCCTCTGAAACTCCTGAGGGATGGTTGTGTTTTGAACCATAGACCTGCTTCCAGTGACTCCATCCTGAGCTGTGCCTGGCCAGGCCACAACTCTTCAATCCTCCCTTCACCTTCCTAGCCAGGTAAATCCCAAACGTGCACAGAATGCCCCAAAGTGCAGCCAGGGCCTTGGGTGAAGCTGCTCATGGCTGAGCTGGCCTTCGGGTACAGGTGAGCAGGGACAGGTGGGGACATGGCCACAGGTCAGTGTGGCAGCAGGATGAGCCCTCAGCTGCTGTCTGAGGACAAAGACTCACCCTGGCTCTGGGCTGCACTTCCAAGGTGAGGTGTAACCCGTGCTTCTGCTTGAGCAGCTCTGGGTGTTTGAGTGACTGAGAGCAGGAGTGGAACAGCAGCAGCACAGCCCGAAGTGTGAGCCCCCTCAGCCTGCCTGCAGCCCTGCGTTTGCATCTCAAAGACAGCCCTCACTTACCAGATTGGTTCTTTGAGAAAAGTGACTGAGGGGAAATAGCACATTTTAAAAAGGTGGAAAGTGTGACTTAGCCTGTAAAGGCATTTTCTGTGAAAAATGGAGAGCTGTCAACTTTGGATTAAAACAAAACCTGTGGTGCTATTGGCTGGGGAGAAAAGTGTGGGGGAGGGAAGGCTTCTCGAGGGAGGTGTTGTGCTTGACATTCCTGCAGTGAGGCAGAATGGCAGATGGTCAAAATAATAGTTTTCTCCAAATGGACAAGCTGAAGCAGCTTAGAAGTAAAAAATAATTGCCAGGCGCGTATCGCGGGATGTATTGCCGCGTGTGGATCATGGGAGGCATTATCTGGCACACACAGAGTTTTTAGTGTTCACAGATCGCAGGAGGCATTACTGGGGCCATTACTGTACACACACTGTGGGCATTAATGTACGGGAGGGCATTATTGTGTTGTTTGTAGGAGGCAGAACTGCACCCTGGAGGCAGAACCACGTGCGGAGCGCAGGAGGCGCGCGCAGAGCAGAGGAGGCAGAACTGCACGCGGATATGGGAGCTGCAAGGCAAACAGAGCATGGGAGGCAGAGCAGAGGAGGCGTGAGCTGAGCATGGAGCACAGGAGGTAGAGCTGAGCATGGAGCAGAGGCAGCAAGGGAGGAGCAGGGGAAGGAGAGCTGTTGCTGATGAACCACAGCAGCAGCAGAGGGGCCTGCAGGAAGCATCGCTCTTACCTGTGGCTGTTACTGTACCGAGAGCATTAACACTCTAATCTAAAGGGAGAGAACAAAACTGTGTCAGTGAAGGACCAAAGGGAGGGAACAAAACTATGTCAGTGCAGGACCAGCACCCTGTGACTGCTGTGTTTGCATCACCTGACACAGCACACCTCGCTAAAGGCGGGAAGGGGAGCTCCCCTCAGGGACCTGCAAAAACACACACCCATGCACTTTCTCCTGGGGTCTGAGGACTGAAACAACCAAGGGAGGGAATGTTGGCAAAAATTAGAATGAATATTCATTATGCTTCATCTTCTGTCAAGCCTGCTGCTGTGGGATGGTGGTGTGCAGCTGCTTCATGCCTCAGCTCCACATCCAGTATTGTTGCTGGTCACACCATTTGAAATTGGCTAAAATTTGAGGCTTCATGGAGACCTAAATACGTGACACTATAGCCACGTTAAAACTCCAAGATGTGAGCAGCACAGTGATCCTGGTGCCAGAAGAGAGGTCCTTGAATGGATAAAACCTGTCCATGAGCAGTCACACACCTCACTCAGACAAGACACACACACACACACACACACAGTGGAGGGCCTCTCACAGGTGAGGCTGCTTAGAGAGCATTAAGCTTTCAAAACACATTTCTTGCAGGAGTGATTAAAAACAGAATTAAAATATAGATGATAGCACTTTAAATGCAAGGTTACCTTGCAGGAAGCCAGAGAGAGATGGTGTATTGCATTTTAAATCCAGTCCACAAAATAAACCTGGTTCCTTCCCCAGGGCATGTGCTCTAGGAATGGTATTTTACCCACTGCTCATGATGCAGCTGAACACCCCTGAAAGCAAGGGTGGGTAAGACATGACCTGTAAGGATGCTGAAGATTGGTACTTGAGAAGAACTCTGAAGTTTTCACATGAGCTGTGACCTATTCCAACCCCCTACTAACCTTTCAGCCAGGACAGGTCTGTGGAAATCTTTGTTTTCCTTCCTAGTAAATGCAAAGGTAATAAAATTCCAGAGAGAAATGTTGTCATAAATCTGCACAGCGTTCCTGTTTCCAACTCCCAAAGACAGGCTCCAGGTACACTGTAAGCAGCATCCTGAGCCTGCATAGAAAAACCCATGGATAACTGAAGCTGGGTTAATCAAAGCCACACACTTCCTCCAGTGCCCTGGAAAGTTCTAAGTGACACACTAAAGAGACTCTGACACTACAGGTTAATAACTGGGGCAGAATGGACCTTAAAATGGCACCCACAGCTCCCAGCCCAGGTGGGAGTTCCTGGCACCACTGTGGGCCTCCACGGTTTGAGTGCCTCGGAAATAAGCCTGAAATGTACACATTGAAGTTTAATTACTCTCAAGTTGGAGCAGCTGCTGATTAGTTTTGTAAGGCTCAGCCTCAGGCGGGGGGACCCCACCAAGTGCTGGGGGTTATGTGGGTGTCACAGGTAGGGCAGCCCAAGCTCTGCCTCTGCTGCAGCTCTCTGCCAGTGCCTCAGTGCAGAGGGAAAATGCGAAGGGGCCACATTGCCTGGAGCCTTCTGCGAGCTGACAGCTGGAGCAGCTGGAGCTGTCACCCAGCAGAAGAGACAGCCCATCAAGCTTGTATTTTTGCCCATCCCAGCACTGATTGCTAGGATAAACCCTCCCTCATCACCCCACCTCCTGGAGAGCGTAGCTGGGGGAGCACCCTCTGAGCCAATTAATTACATGGAAAAGGCAGGGGGCCAGGCTGAGAATCCTGATGTGGCTCTCACCCCCCACACTGCTGGAGATCCCATGGGGAACATGAGGCTTGAGGGGGAAGCAGTCCCAGCACCTGCCCAGCCTCAGGGGACAAGTTCGGACTGTCCACCCTCAGTGGTGGCACAAGGGACAGCCCCAGCACACTGGGCAGGAGGCCACTTCCTTGGGGCTCTGGACCCTCTGGAGCCAGGCCTGGGCTCCTGGGCATACACCAGCATCAATCAGCCTGCTCAGCCACAGGAGCTGTAGGGGGGACAGAGCTGCTGCCCCCAGCAGTTTGTGGTACCTGTGACCCTGCCCTGCTTAATGCCAGACCATTCCTGACCCTCACGGGGACACTAAGGCAGCAGCCCTGCCAAACGGGCAGGAAAATCATGGGCAGAGCACTGATAACCAAGAGCACACAGGCAAGGAGCAGCTCCCACATCTGCTGGTGCCACTGCAGGAACTTCCCAAGGGCAGCCCAGCTGCAGCAGGCTCCAGTCTGCTGAGGATGAGGAAGTTCCCCACACCTCACCCTGAACAGTCCTCATAGGGAAGGAGGAAGGAAGAAAGCCCTTGAGTCCTGCCTCCTGTGGTAGCTGTTCTGGCTCCTCTGCTCCACTTCCCTCAGCTTTTCCTCTCTGTTCCCTGCCTGGACAACCTGCACCACCGTGGCAGCACCAACTGCACAGTGTCCCACCTCACCTGCTCCATGCCAGCAGCAATTCCCTGTTCTGCTAGTAACCAGGACAGGCAGGAATTTCCTAAATCCCATCTATTAGAAACAAATTGTTCAGTTTCAGGCAACACTGACACATGGATTAAACCCAACCCCTGGCACACGCTGCGTGTGCTCGGAAGATACCATGGCACAACTCAGTTTCACATGTGTGTATTTCTAATATTCCCAGGAAAATAGGCAAAAATACTACATAGATAGATAGATAGATAGCCAGATAGATATACACACACAGAACATGGACACAGATCTGACAAAACACCCTACAGAGCTTCAAGGAAAAAGACAAAATGACAAAACCCCCCAAAGTAGTATAAAAACCCCAGAAAAACCAAACTAAAGCAAAAGGAATCCTTAGCTCAATTACTGTTACAAAAAGCATCAGTCCTGTTTAAAACAAGAATTACTCTAGGTTTGTTTTTGTTTCTGTCAAAAATATATTTTTAATCTGCATGTCCAAATAATAATTTTGCTTTAAAGTGGGAAAGATAAAGCTCAGCATTGAACAAAAAGTGGTTTAAAATACCAGATCTTGTTTGCTGTACATTAAAATATTTTATACAAGAACTTTACGCATGTAAAAGTCCAGAGACAAAAGAAAAGCATGTGTCACCTTTGCAACAAAAAGGCTGCAAAATCTCGGTTTTATGTAAATCAGCAGGCACAGCTCCCGGGGCTTTAAAACCAGGGAATGCTGAAAACCTCAATAGTTCCTCGACTCAAGTGTTGCGCTTGGGCAATGCCATAATATTCATTTAAGAATCCATTTATCAACAGATACCACATGTCCCAAGTTTTCCAGCACAGTTCTTCTGACAAGGATTCTTTAAAAACATTAAGCTGGAGAATCCAAGATGCTTTCTCTGCCCATTCCACATTGCCCATTAGCAACTAAAGAAGCCAAGATTTACACTATATCCTCCCTGATAACGCTGAGCATTGTGCTTTATTTTCCAAGTCATTAGCATGCACAAGAATGACCTCATGGTGAACAGATGCACTTGGATATGGCAGTGATTAGATCAGTCCTCTCAGCAGTCAAGTGTGCCCGTTCCCATTAACCCCTGAGGCGCCGGCGGCAGCGCTCCGCTAGGGGGGTCCCTGGAACGCAGGAACCTGCCCTGGAGCACAGGATCCCCTCCGACAGGATCCTTGTGGTGGGAAAGCTGTGACTAAAGAATTCTGGAATATCCAGCAGCCCCTTTCACTTCCAAAGGTTAACACTGTGCTTCTGGCTGCTGATCTTACACTAAAACAGACCGAAGTCCCAAGGAGCTACAGAGGCAGAGGAAGTCAGGGTGCTGCTCTGCCCACTTCAGCTTCACCAATTTTTTTAAGGAACACACAAGTATTTCGTTGAATAACTATTTCTGGTTTTGGCTGAAAGAGCAAGAACAGCAGCTTAAAGCCTGCCCATTAAAAAGGAGAGAAATCTGCAGAGGGAAAGAATGAGAATAATTCAATAGTGTTGGATTATGGAGGATTTCCTGGGCTGCCTCTCAAACCCTGCCTAATTAAAATACAGCATGTAATGCACCAGTTTAACAACAAAGGGCCGTATTCCCAGCTTTTGTTCCTAATCTGCACATCCCCTGCATGAGTTTGGGGATGGTCATTCTGCCTATGAGGCTGCACTTTCAACACTATCTGTAATCCATACAGGGAGTTTAAGGCTCTGCTCCTCAAAACATTAAAGGAGATCAACTGGACAATTTTCCTGCAGAAAACACAGCACCTGCAAGACTGGTGACAGGGAGACTAAGCCAGGGCAGGAAAACCACATCCCACATGAGTCTGGGGATGCATCCCCAGGGGCAGCATTAGAAAACACAAAAACATCCAGTTCCAAGAATTATCTCATAGTCAGCGATACCCCAGTATGTCACTGAGAGCTGTGTTTGATGTCTCCCTGTGCTGGGGTATCTCCTGAGAACTGTGATAAGCAGCACCCTTACTCCCTGACCCTCTCTGCTGCACACATGCATTTGAAGCACTGACAGCATCACACCTGAGGGGCATGATAAGAATCAGGTCAGATGAGAATTAATCTTAAATTTACCTGAGCAGTTTATGCTCAGCAGAGTCAGCAGTACCAGCTGGCTTGTACTGCCACCTGTGCCAGCTCCATGCATCCCACAGAATCATCAAGGCTGGAAGAGATCAACAAGTCCAGTGGCCAACCCATCATCACCCCAACATCTTGTCCTGACACCTCCTGAACACTTCCAGATACAGGGAACCCAGTGCCTCCCTGTGTCAGTGCCTGACCATCCCTTCAGGGAAAAGTGCTTCTTTTTATTAACTGCTCCCTGACTCCTTTTTTCTGTTTCAGAATAGAAGAATGCCCCCTGTATTCCAGAGTGGCAGACAGGTGATCCCTGCAGGTGCAGGACAGGTGGATCTATGCCTGGAGCAGGCCTGGCTGGAGAACAGCAGAGCTGCCAGGACTCATCCATCCAGCCTCTCTGCCGACTGCTGAGGGGAATCTGATGGAAAACACATCCCCATGGCCACAGCTGACACTGCCCCTGCTCATCACTGACTAAACATGCAGGAGAATCAGCAGGTAATGTGAGGAGACTCTCTGAAGTGGAGATTCTGACACCAGAAGTCATGGCCAGCCTCCAGTTCATGAACGGGAAATTAATTCTGAGGTTCAGAAGTCTGAAAATTGGGTCCTGATTGGGGGAGGCTTTGTACTTAAAAGCAATTAAAATAATTAAATTGTACCCGGGTACTCTTGATTTAACAGTGTTCTGAAATCCTCAGCTACTGGGAAACAGTTTAAGTGTGTTTGGCATACACAGCTTATCCTTCAGAAAGTGGGGCTGCAGGCGGGTCTGCCCTGTCAAACCACATGTGACACAACACCATGTGCTAAGAACAACATGAAAATGAAACACAACTATGCAAAACAGAGCAAAAGCAAAACGTTTAAAACAGATCACTCTATCTACATTTCTATTTGCTGATACGTCGGCAGATAAATGATTCAAGTGCTAACAACCAGCTCTGGGCACGCGCCACGCTCCTATTGAAATGGGCGATTTTTTTGTCTCAGACTTTTGGCAGAGTGTATAAAAGAATTTAATGCACAGCTGTTCTACTTTTTAATGTAGGAAACATTAATCAAAGCTTTAAGTTATAAGCTTTCCTAGCGTTGTTTAGTATTCCAGTTCAGCAGAGATCAATAGATCCATCCCATGTTCCCTGACGCCTCTCCAGGACGAAGAGGTGCGATTATGTAAATGGCCTCGGCTTCCTCCCCCCTCCTGCCAGTGCTTATCTCCAAAGCCTTCTGCCTGCTGCTCCTGGCCACCACTGCCCGGCCAGCACAGGCCTCTTATCTCCTCACAAAGCTCCAAGCACGCCAGGATTGGAGCCAGCAACGCCAGACAATGCTGCACGGCTGGTTTTATTCCTAAGTGATTTATGTGAGCAAATTTAATTTCTTCCTTCAGTGTTTCAGTTTAGATGGAAGATATCTGCTAACAAGTCAGGCTAAAGAGAAATAGAGCAGATGTCCTGCAACGTTTATACAGGTTGGAAATAATCTATTCAGCAATCCAAAAGAGAAGCAGGGAATGATGAGAAAGTGCCAGTGTCACCCTAGGAGTGTCAACGACGGATTAAGGAATCTTTGTTAGAAAGTCCAGCACATGGTGACCAGATACTTTCTGGATGCTGGAAAAAACATTTTGAAGGCACTAGAAATGTGCATTTCAGAGCCAAAGCTCCCTTTCAGGAGATGTTCACTTAAACTTAATCAAACCAGCTGGACAGTGATTGTGACTGCACGCTAACCTAACGCTCCGCAAGGCACACGAGGAATAAATTCCCGGAGTTCGGCACAATGCTGTCACCTCTCAGCAGGCGGATGACTGATGAGCACTGATGTGCATGCACACGCACACACAGACAGCACAGACCCCCCCACACACCCACACCCCCATCACAAACCCCGCAGAGGCTCCAGGCCAGGTGCTGCAGGGCATCCCGCACGCCGCCGCCATTCCCTAACAGCACCCCGTTCCTGCGTTTCTTGTGCATTAATCCCTGACCCTGGTAGCTCAGCAGCATAATCCCCATTTAGCATTAACAGCAGCTTCCCCTGCGAGGAACTATTTCTGATAAGTGAGCCCCAATTCAGGCCTCACTTTTGAACAACATATTCCCAGCTCAGCAAGAACCCGGAGTCCTGAATGAGCCCGAGCCCATCACTGCGAGAAAGTTCATTAACCTTGCTGGAGTTGGAGGTTAACAGGATAGCTGAAGAAAGGAGCAGTGTGAATAGCTCTGATGCAAAACAAATTAAAATGAATGTCATCATTCCTTTTGATATTCATTAGTTGATTCAGGGGAAGAATAGTAGTCTTAAATTTGCAAGCATTTATCTACAAAAAACAGGTGTACATCTGCTGCTCAAGTGCTTCTTTGGGCTACAGAGAAGAATAATGTGCAGGACTCACCAGTTCCACCGAGGGAGTAGCTGGGAGAGGGAGAGAAGACCTGAGCAGCAAAATCCTCAAACGTCATCACTTCTTTATGGTTCTGGATGATGGCTTCGAGGTACAGAGCTCTCTCCTCGTAGCTGCGATGCCCCGTTAAGGAAAGGCGTGTGCAGAACTCAAGGCTGTCCCACGGCAGCACCCAGCCCCACATCCACACTGACCAGGCTGGAATGGGCAGGGAACTCGACCAGGACTGCCCAATGGTTCTGAATGGGAGCAACAAGGAAGGGGATACATTCAGGGCTGGAAATTCAGGATGTCACCGCTTGAGCTTCCTGACTGAGAAGCTGTGACCTGGGAGCTGCCAGGTACAGGAGCAAAGCCCCAGATCAAAACCCACCATCACAGACAGGCTGTGGCACTATGGGAAGCTCCTGGCACTCAATATTCCTGTTCCAATGACCAGAAAAGTAACTAGATTGGACAAAAAAAGCTACAGGACAGAGGGATACACCCCCCTCCCCCCACATTCATTTGATCACTGGACTTCTTAGGAGAAATTAAGCACAATAAACCAATTCCAAAAGCGTGACGGTTGTATTTCAGGCAGGTGCTAGAAGGTGCAACCTTATGTATCCCAAATAAATGATGCACAGTGGACAAACCCAGCCCACAACTTGCATGCATTATGGCCTGAATAATGCGGACAACAAAGCGAGCTAACATCGAGACTATTGCCTTTTAATTAAAACTCGGCAACCTGGAACACACAGCATTCAAATGTGTAATCAAAAACCAGTCACCAATAAAACTTACAAGCGTAACAAGCTGAAGCAACTTTCCAGCTGTCTTAATAGGACCCCTGCTTGCGGCAGCCTTTCACAGCGGAGAAAGCAAATCTTCCCCTTTTGTGTGCAGCTTCTGTCTGCTCAGAAGGTGAATCATACACTTCCAATAACAGGATAACGCCTGGGACAAACCTACAATGGGCTGGAGAGCCTCATGTATGACTTTATGAATTAGGGCTCGCAGGAGCCAGGATGACATCTCATTCTCCGTTTCCTCAGTGAAAACAAAAGTTTTCAGCGCCTCATTGTGTTTCTGTTATGGGGAAATGCACTCGAGCTCTGCAAGGCTGTTCGGTGGGAGCAAAGGCCAAGCTGAATTTAGAAATTAGGAGCAGGAGAATAACACCAGTGACAACAGAATGCAGGTGAGGGTATTTAGAATTGAAAAGCATTACTAATTAATATTGAAGTGCCATTTGTGACTTGCAGTACATTAACAAAACCACTCTGAAACACTATTAAAAAAAAAAATCAGAGAAAAGCAGTGCTTAAAGCCAGGAGACAGTGGTCTAGTGTCGACCTCGAAGGGAATAAGCAAAGCACTTTCTCATTGCACGGCGAGTTCCTGCAGGCGTGGTGGCAACAAAGGGAAGAGAAAGAAAGGAAGAATTTTGCATTTAACGCTCGCAGAGGACGATTGATATGTGATAAATCTTCTTATAAACTTCCCGTGGAAGCCTAAAGAAAGAAAATCAATAGCCAGCATTTCAGCGTTTGCACCTGCTGACAGCGTTATTTGCTCAGTTTTCCTGCCTTGCCCGAAGCCGGGGAGAACGCATTCCTGACAGCGCCAGCCCGCAGCGTGCGGAGCTGCCTCCCCTTTATGGGCTGAACTCCTGATGACTCTTGTTAATGAATAGGCTGCCAAACTTCCTCGGAGAGGAGGCACACGCCTGGGCCCAATTCTAAAGGGACTGACGGATGCCATTCACTCCTCATTATGGAGATGCTGATTCCCCGGCGCTGGGCTGTTGCCAGGGCCGTGCGGAGCGCGCTGCCGGCCGGCCGGGCGGGCGAGGGGCGGCGGGGGCTGCGCGCCCGTCTGGCAGCGGCGGCCGCGGCACGGAGCTGGCACGTGCTGCCGCCGCGGGAGCGGGCCCGGCCGTGACAAATTGCTCAAAGGGCTCGGCGACACCGGGGGACAGCGGCCACCTGAGCCTGCGGGCCGGCCGGCAGCGCTCGATTCATCCGCTCGGCCCCAGCCGCGGCTGCTCGCGGGCTCCCAAGCAGGCTGGGGGGAGAACGGGAAAAGGCTCGGCCTGAAAATGCCCGGCTGGGTCTGCTCTGCATCTCGCACAGCACCGAGCGGGGCTGCCCGCTCCGGATAAACGCTGCACGGAACCACGCTGCCCACGTTTGCTCTGCACCTGGTAAAATCCTGTTGGCGAGCTGGAGGATGCTGCTCACCGCACAAAAGAGTGGGAAAAACCGCCTGGACAAACAGCTGAGGAGAGGCAGCTGAGGAAGAACGCTCCAAGATGCGGAGAGCCCTGCAGATCCACCAGCGCTTTGGAGGCACGCAAGGAGGACCGCAGCTCAGCACCTCTCCTGCACGCTGAAAAGGCCTTTCCTGCACGCTGAAAAGCCAGAAGCAGTGGGTGCAGATCCCCCCAGGCCAGCAAGGTCTAGTGCTGCCCACCCCAGCTCCACCCACAGCCACCTTGGCTTGGCGCTCCCCTGCCCTCCTGGAGCAGCAGGAGCACAGCAGCTCCTGCCATACGGGCAGCGAGAGGGATGCCCCTGCTTGTTTGTACTCACAGCTTAACCAAAGGAGAGCTAAGTGACTGCAGCAAAGTGAAATTAAACTCCCTGCTATCTCTGTCTCAGCGTACGTGCACATTTGGGAGAACAGTTGGGATTCATTAAAAAAAAGAAAAAGTCAACTGAAATTTTACTGAAGTTTAGGAATTTGAATGTGGAGGCATCATGAACAAGCTGTAAAAAAACGCTCTGAAAAACACCTCCATCCTGTAAAAAAAGCATCACGAGGCTTCCTATTTATTGCCCTGTAGAATGAATCTATCCTGAAAATCTCTGGAGCAATACTCTCTGGGCTGCCCCTTGGAAACACGCTGTGTCTTCAGCCTAAGAGCCAACCACAAAATATCACTGAGCTACAAACATTAGAACCTCACTCTGAACCTCTTTAACCTGACCTTTGTGTCACAGCTCTCCTGCAAGCTCTGGGCACAGCCCACCACCTGCCACCAAGGTGCCCCCAACACCAAGCAGAATTTCGATAAAGTGCCAAATAATCTACTGTTTTTAAAATGCAACCATGGATCAGCAACCCCTCAGCCGGGAGGGAGCCCGAAGTGCCTGGCTGGCTTTCCTAGAGCAGCCCCAGGGCTGGAGCGCTGCAGGGAAGGCACAAATCCACTGCTGCGGCAGGCCTGGGTGCAGGGCTGGGCTGTGAGCTTGAACCCTACCCCGGCGGAAAGCTGGACAGCTGGCTGCCCTGATTAACTAAGTCCCCCATTATCTGGGGGCTTGGGGCGTCCCCTGAGATCTGCAGATAAATGGAGTTATACCAGACCCTCAAAGAAGCTGATCAAAAGCTCCTCTTTTAATATGTACGGCAATTTGACCCACCCCTCCGTGGCTTCATTATTTTACATTTTGCTTCTGCCAAGGCAAAACTCCAGAGCAAAATGTTTTAGACAGACACAAACAGGTTTGTTTTTTAAATTTCATATGAAATAATGACATTGAGAGCCATGACAAGGTGTGAATTAATGACATATATTGACATATAAAACTGTGGGAGAGCAGGAGTTTAGGTCCTATTTGAATACAGCAATCAAATCTCATTATTTGAATATTATGAGCTTCTAGTAGTGTTTTATCAGCATACCAATTACTTTAACATTTCAACCACTCATTGAAGGCTGTTTGAAAAAAAAATTTGAAAAAACCCCCAACATATTAAAATGTAAACATCAGCTATTTGCAAAAAACCACAACATCTTACTGTAGCAGCAGGATGACCTGCGAAGTGAAACACACAGGACGTCCTTCCAGATGGAGGATGCAAAAGAAGACAAAAGGCAGAAGCTTTTGAAAATTCACTGGAGAGGCAGATACCAGCCAGCACTCGGCTCTCACCCACCAGCATTGCTTCTATGTTTAACCTCTACAACACAGAGCCAGTTTCAGACACACAGTTTAAAACATAATGACCTTGAAAACGCTTCAAAGTCCTCCTAATCTGGGTTCTGCAGGTGACATGAGCCATCCCAGGGCCAGGATCTTCCCACTGTTTCCCTCCCTGCACACGAACACAACCCTAAACCATACCAAACTGCCCTGTTGAGAAATAAGGGAATATAAAGATGATGACTCAAGCAGATCCTGAAAATACAGAACTTTTGCTTATTAACCTTAACTCCATGCTGACCTCAAGCAAAGCTCTCAGGGCCCCACTCCTGCTGATGGTAATGGCCAGCCCATCCTGCCCCACGCTACTGTTTGAAAATAAAAACATTCTGGCAGCATTTTTATACTGTCACTGATACATGGAAAGAACAGTGCGCTCTGCTGACACAGCGGGCAAATCAAAGACAGGAGTGTTTGTGGCCAGGCTGGGGAGAAATGCCTGGCTGCTCTCCATGGCCCACAGGTTGTGCCAACACCACAGGGCACCAGTGCCACGACTGGCACCCAGGACACCGCCAGGGTCTACGGAGAGCACTTGCTGCAACGCCTGTCCCTGCAGCTCCAGAGGGACCCTAACGCAGCCTGCTGGCATGGACCTGCTGCAAATCCCATCTGCGGTGTGCAGCCCACCCAGAGAAGGGCTTTTGGGGCATCAAGCCAGTGGAAAAGCTCAAAGTACAGAAGGAGACAGCTCTTTCCAGCCCATCGGACATCAAGGCTAGCTCTATGTCCACAATGCCAATTCCTTCTTTATCTAATTAGGGAGACCTGCAGAAAATCTTTGAATTTACTATTCAGTGCAACAAACATCTAATTCAGTTTCCTCCTGATTGTATCACAGGGTTCACACAAAGGGTTTGCTCCTGACACTGCAACAGCGGTTTGGAGAAAAACAACATAAATGTTTGGGACTTACCAAAGCAGATTAAAGTCAGGACCATAAAATTGAGGTTGGCAGAGATGTGTCAGCTGATGACCTTTCTGCACCTAATTGTCCTCCCCAGCTCTGAAGAAGATGGAGTTACTGCGCTTTTAAAATGTGGTGTTAGGCAGTTTTGGTGTGAAACTCAATCTGCTTGATTGGGCTCGCCATCGTTTACGGTCTAGTGACCACCATCACCGCACGAATTTCACCG